TAATTGAAATTAAAAAAAAATTACATTTTTTTATGGAACATATTTTTTTTTTTAGTTATTAGTTTTTTAATAACAGAAAAGAAAATTTGTTCTTTTTCGAGTCAGGTGTATGCAGAAGACTACCAGACCTGATTTTAGAACAAGTAAATTTCAGCCGGTGTTCTGATATCATGCAAAAAAATAAGATATGGTCTGATGCCAAGAAACCCCAACTGGAAGTGACAACATTTTACAAAATTATATTGATTCTCCCGAAACGGCTAATGAACAATTGTGCTGTTCGGTTCTCCATAACCAAAAATGACCTCTATTCTATGTAATAACACACTCACAAAAACACACATACACACGTACAACGTCGTCAGTGCCTTCAATGGTAGTTTTTTAAAAATCCATTTGGAACACATTTATTTTGGCTGATTTCTTAATTATTTTTCTCCACAAATTACTTTGACTTACTTTTGCACTTGGCCATTGGCCAAAATGAACAGGCATGTTTCCGAAAGTTGTGTTATTTTTATGCTGTCTTAGGAAAACCGCGACTAAAAATACAAAGTAAATGCACAGAAATGTCACCGGGAGCCAAATGGAAAATAATTGGCAAAATACTAATTAGAATAATAAACAATAATTGAATAAAAAAGTTTTGGAACCGAAATTGCGTGCACAAGTTGTCTGCATATCAGATAAAGGTTGTTTGTTTGTCCAATAGGTTTCTTCTGACATAGATATATATGTATAAGGAAAATATCTATGTTAAAGTTATATGTACATATATATAATATATAGTCAACATATCTGCCATAGTTAACGTTTCGGTACACATCCATACACATGTGCATAACCTTTTTGATATACATATATCTATACAGGTATGTCACTCACCTTTTTATGACTTTTGAAAACGGAGCATTTAAATGTGTCTGTGCTGGCATCTCGTGCAATATAGCTAAATATTTTGAGATCGCTGCTATCGTGTGACACATAGAAAATTCTATAGATGGGATGATTGAGTAGTTCGATTTCTTCCGCGTCATTTGTCCAGTTCTTTTTCTGGAAAGAAAAAATATTATAAAATAAAATACAAATACGGATTTAAATTAAAATTAATTAAAAATTTTTAAAATAAATCAAAGTTAATTAAAATAATATCATAAAATATGAAAATACAAATTAGAAAAACACTGAACGAAACAAAAGTAATAATCAAAATAAAATGAAATAAATTAAATTGAAAAATCAATAAAGAGAAAA